TCAGGGAGCAAACAGGGATACTCATTGTCTCTTCCATGTGTCTGAGTTTCTGGCCCCATTTATTGATTATGTTAGTTTACATATTCTAGGAGCTAGTTAAGGAAGAACAGCATGCTTTGTGTGACAATAAATTCTTGATTTCTCATGTATGAAAGTCTGCTGTTTGATTTCCAGTCCTGAACAAGTTGTCCCTCACCCTTGCAATCAAGGATAATAACATAATGAGTTGTGTCCATCCACAGGATGAGCTGCTGTTTCATGCACTATAGTTTGGCTTTGATCATATTCAAATTAATATGCTGCACCACAGTCCTTTAATCTCATAGATCGTTATCCAGCAGCACATCAGGTTCACACAACCTCACCTTTAAAAATAGTTTTTGGTGGAGAAATGTAATTTGGAAAATATGGATCAACAAACATGAACAGAAGACTCCTTTTAGCTAATGCACCATGATTTCAGGACTCCCAGAGCATTCATTCACGCTCCATACCTTAAAGGCTCCGGAAAGAGCTGTTACAGTCAGCTGTACCATTGATCAGGAGATTAATTGCAGATTGGCACAACAGGCTACCCAAGCTCCAATAGCAGCTGTTACAGACCACTGACATGATAGACTCTGGATAACAAGCCATCCGGAGTCTATTTTCTCTCCCTACTATAAAATTTCAAGTCGTCACAGAGCACTTCAAGGATGTGTTGAAGCATTCTGACACAGGAAACATTTCCATGTACATCCTGGCAACCTGGCAGATTCCTTGGTCAGAGTGTTAAGTGATTTTGGTGACACTGTAGCAGTTACGAGTGCTATTTTTACTTATTTGCCATAAAGAAAGTTAAACTTTTATCCAGCAAATTGCATAAAAGTAGGCACTTAACTGGAAACCTTCTCTCTGACTTCAACAAAGTTACAAAGAATTTTTTAAAAAAACACAACAGCCCTAGCACTTTTGCCCGAACACAGAAATTGGAAGAGTGCTAAGCAAGCATCGCAGTGGGAGACAATGGAAAGGAAGAGCACTCCAGTCCTTTACCTTACTCTAAATTCTCATCCACGGAAAGCAAAACAGACAGGTGTGGGTTTGGGTTTTTTTGCTCCCTTTTGTCCCACCCATTATTATAGTTGTTAATATCCCCCATGTAGTCTGAGGGATGGAGGGAATGAATGGAACAGCAGTGGACCTCTCCCATATTTTTATCACACATACCATGTTACATTATAGAAATGCCTAATGGTACTGAAACCTCTAGACAGCATTCCAGTTCATGAAAAAGAACAGGGAATGTGTGTGTGGAATATCACGCCAGACTCGCATACTGCATTATCAGATCTTTGCGTGGAAGCATCATCTCATATGTTACATCATCTATGTGAGGGAGAGGAGGATATACACAACTCTTTGATCACATCAGTGCTGTAGCTTTCAATTCATTATGTAGACCTTTGGGGCACTGATGGCTTTCTTCTGGGCTGACTGTAAAGTGCTAGGGATGTTTTAAAGTGCTAAGTGACTAGAGCTCTTGGATTTTGGATGAGCAAGTTCTGGGAGTCTAGAGACCATTTTCCTGGTCCCAAGATCTTTCCTGTCAGGGGCCACACCAACACCTCAAATGGAAATTGAAGTGACTGGTTTAAAGGTGGGGGGAAGCATATGTGGTTTGAAAAATAATACGGAGTTTTTGCTAGTAAAATGTGTGGGAACCACACATTGTTTTAGAAGGGATTTATGCCCCCTGAAAGTGAAATTCAGAGTCAAAGAAATGTAAACATGAGGGGGGGTTCCCCTCTGGCAACCACAAAATGCCCTTGTGGCCACATGTGCTTCCTGGGTCACATGATTTACATCATAAGACTCCGGGACAACTTTGTTCTCTCTGTAACATCAGCCCCTTTCAGATGGGCTTTTAAAGGAGTATCTAAAATTATATATATTCTGCAGGAGACTCCAGGTTTACTGAAGCACTTCCCTTGTACCTAGTTAAGTGACAGGATCAAGAGCATGTTTAGATAATATTGCCATTTGTGTGAACCTTGAACTCCAGAATTTAACATTTCCTGACTTATCTGAACCCAATGCCTAATATTTTCCCACTGAGACTGAATAAACCTCATTGCTTGATATATTCTCTAGTGCATCACAGTAGGCTTGATGAGTCTCTGGTGGCTGAATTACTTCGGAATGATTCTCAGCAAGGTCACAGCTCTGTCTCTTTGCTCACCTTCTCAAAAGCCTGATTCTATAAGAGACTCTTGATGATCCTTTCATGAGATCACATCTTGGCTAAGGAAAAGAGACTGTTTAATTGCCTGGCTCTTAAAAATGAGATACAGAATATTCACTCATTGCACAATCAGGAGGACTCTGCTCTTATGTGTCAAAGCCTTTTAACAATAATTTTCCATTATGCTTTTAAATATTAGAGCAGTTATATCACCCCAACCCCAAGAAATGTATGCAGCAACACTGAACCAGAATCTGTCCATCAGGTTGCTTCCATTTACAGCTGTTACAAAGATTTGTTTTGGAAGATATATTTAATCATACAGTGGGGTCTTGACTTGAGAACTTAATCCGTATTGGAAGGCGGTTCTCAAGTCAAAAAGTTCTCAGGTCAAATCTGCATTTCCCATAGGAATGCATTGAAAACCATTTGATCCGTATCTGCTTTTTTCCGTCCATAGAAACTAATGGGAAGCTGCTATTCTGCCTTTGACCACTAGAGGGGGATATTTTGTTTCTTTTTTTCTTAGGTCAAGAAAGGTTCAGGGAAGGCAGGGAAAATACAGTCCAGTCAGTCCGAAGACTGTCTCCCAATGCACTCTCTAAACGCTGGGAGGAGTGAGGAAGCAGACAGGCACCCTTTTCACTGGCCAACAGTTAACGGATAGTTCAAATTTTGCACTTTCCCTGCCTCCCACGTGGTTTTTTTCAGTTCTTAACTCAAATCTAAGTATCTAAGTCAAGTCAATATTTTCCTATGAGAGTGGTTCTTAAGTCAAAATGTTCTTAACTCAAGCCGTTCTTAAGTCAAGACCCCACTGTAATACAAATTATAAACCATCTAATTTCCAAAGGGAGAAAACAGAGTTTGATTATATGTTAAGTTCACACAGATATCATCATCCAGCTCAGCAAAACCTATTTTTAGGTAGCAAATAAAGGACTATAACCCAAGTTATAGCCCAATCTTTTTCTTATTTACTTAGAAGCAAAGACAATTGATATGAGTGAGACTTTTATATGTAGCACCGCATTTGAAATTCTAACACAAAAGAAACAAACAAGCACTCTAACACACATGATCCTAATTACAGCAACATGAAGGAAATGTTTCTTTTTCATCTGAGATTCCAGTTTTGTGAATTCTTAAGATGAGAAATAGGGAACCTTGATCCTCTGGATGTTTTGGACTACAAGCCCTGTAAAAACTTAGTTTTGGCTATAGTGGCCTGGACTTTCTGGGAGCTGAAGGTGAAAACATGTGAATGTTCAAAGGTTCCTCATCATTACTCAAGCCAATACAAAGTAACATGAAGCTACACACTTCATCAGTGCATATGTTTTAATTATTAATACAACTACAGAAGTATGCAAAATAGTAACGTGCATTCAGATGCAGAAATATTCAGAACTCACTGAATAATGACATATATGGATAGTTCCAAATATATCCAAATTCAAATATGATATTTCTGATTATGTCTAATAATAATTCCTAATATTCTGAGTCTCATTTACTCCTATAGATGGGGAAGCAAAAGGCTAGGTTTCAGCTTCCTAGAGGAAGAAGCAAAAGTGAAACCTGTTTCTCAGGCAGTCTGAAGTGATTTCTTGGAAACTGAACTTTAAAACACTCTGGTTTCAAGGATATTGAAGACAAAGAACCCAGTGTCTCCTAACTAGGGTTTCCATCGGTTTCCCAAAGAAGAGGGGCTAGGGTAAAACCTGTAAATGATGTAAGGGAGGATTCGGAGGCAGCATTTAGGCGTACTGGCCAAAATTGTCTTGCCCAACATAAACCATCACAGGGGAAATGATGTAACCTGCAGCAGCACAACACAGAATCTAACTGAGTACCTTTTACCTAATGGCTGCTAATTAGATTTGCCACTACCGTGTGCAAAGTCACACAACTTGTGTGTCAGGAGGGATCTTAGTCAACACTCCAGTTAGAAGCCATGGATTAAAGTCCCTGTCTGAATTTTGAGTCACACTAATGACAGGTGGTGTCATTTCCCCATTTTTCTCCCAGCATAAGAGGATTTGGGCCAATATGGGAACATATAGATACAGTGGGGTCTTGACTTGAGAACTTAATCCGTATTGGAAGGTGCTTCTCAAGTCAAAAGGTTTGCAGGTCAAATCTGCCTTTCCCATAGGAATGCATTGAAAACCATTTGATCCGTATCTGCTCTTTTCCGTCCATAGAAACTAATGGGAAGCTGCTATTCTGCCTTCGACCACTAGAGGGGGATATTTCGTTTCTTTTTTTCTTAGGTCAGGAAAGGTTCAGGGAAGGCAGGGAAAATACAGTCCAGGCAGTACCAGGCAGTCCAAAGACTGTCTCCCAATCCACTCTCTAAACGCTGGGAGGAGTGAGGAAGCAGACAGGCACCCTTTTCACTGGTCAACAGTTAACTGAAAGTTCAAATTTTGCACTTTCCCTGCCTCCTACGTGGTTTTTTCAGTTCGTAGCTCAAATCTAAGTACGTAAGTCAATATTTTCCTATGAGAGCGGTTCGTAAGTCAAAATGTTCGTAACTCGGGCCGTTCGTAAGTCAAGACCCCACTGTTTGTGAAAATTTACATTTATTGCATCAACAGAACCCACATCAGTGTCATCTTAAAATTTTGGTGCTGTGTCATTTTCTTTTCTCAACTTGATTATATTCATGCATTCCAATTCAGTTGAAAAAAAGACAAATAAGTAATTCTGTTTAATTTTTTCAGAAGATATGCTGCTTTTTAACAGCTGCTACATTTTGACAATCTCTTACCGCTACTTCTCCACTGCAGTTTTGGGACTGACAGATACCAGTTATTCTGTTTGGAATTAGAACATCTTCCCAGCAAGAAGGACCCTTTAAAAACGGAAAAAAAGAAAAATACATTTTAAGATATAGTCTGAAAGAAAATATATCCCACTTTTTTCCCTTTAGGCCTTTGCTAGAGAGGAAGAAAACAATGTAGCATAAAAGAAGAAAAATAAAGAAGAAAAGGAAACAGTACATACACATAAATCTAGTGAATGCCAAAGTAGCAATGAAATGCCAGTGAAAAGCATACACTGTGTGTGTGCATATATATATTTGCAATAAGAAGTTAATTGTGAAAGTAAATGCATTTTTGTTAAAGTAATTCCCACTGTCAAGCCAAATACACTGAGGCAGCAGTGCTATTTAACCACTAATGTTTTTGTTTAGAATCCATCAGTCAAGTAATAAATATATTTCATCAGTAATAGTTTAGTTTCTATAACCCTCTATATCAGGGGTGAGCAATTAATTTCTATAGGGAGGCACATGAAAAATCTGAACTGTGTTCGGGGGCCGAACCAACTTTACTGAAAAATAAAATGAAACAGTGATGTTATGATTGTTTTTATTTTAAACGTGTTAATCTTCACAAATACTAAAGAGGTTTTTTGCAGTATGTTAAGGATAAGCAACTGATCAACTTTAGACAAAAAGCTATGAATGGTTTTGATGTTCAACTTGTTCAGTGAGAGAAATTCAGTCTGTCTTGGGCTTGAACAATTGGTTGAACACCAGACTGGAGCAACGACCAGCGGGCTGGACAGGAGCGGCTCGCGGGCCATATGTGGCCCTCGGGCCGCACTTTGCCCAGGTCCTGCTCTATATGTAAGGGCTCTTTCAGATGGGCATTTATCCCCTAGTTTGGTGTGTTGTGAAAGCAGATTGGTTCACTCTTCATTCTGGCAACCATGCAACATAATTGCTAGAGCAGACCAAGTTGCCCCCAGAACATTTGATGAGTGTCAGCAGTTTCTACTCTTCTGGTGCATTGTAATTTAGTCCACTCCCAGCATGTGTGATGGCTGGGACTAAAATTTAGCCTTGCAGCTTTCAAAGCTGCCCAGGTTTCTTCCACTGTCAATTTCCAATATTGTTAAATGGCTTAATAAGCAATCTACTTCAGGAAATCAGCAAATTCAACTCTTCCTCTGTTTCTTTTCTTTTCTTTGTGTGTGTGTGTGTGGGGGGGTAGGATTGCTTTGGTTTGAATTGGTTCTAGTGTGTGTGATTGCTGGAACCTATCCGAAGCAAACCTTCCACTTTGAATATGTGAGCCACTTCAAGATACAGGCAAATTTATTACGGGCCATATGTCAGTTGAATCCATGGTGCTGGCTTCAGATGCAGGCACGTTTCTCGAGAGAAGTCAAAGAAAAGTTATTTTTAAAAAAACCTGATGCAGCACATCAGTGATAGTCCATTATACAGGAAAAGAAAACCACTTCCCTGCCTCTCCGCCAAAGAGTAGAGGAAGTGATCAATTTGCCAATATCCTGAAGTGGCTTGCTTATTCAGCTACTTCACAAGGAGTAATTTCCATCTGAACAGTTGGCCTGATGAGATTGCTGTAATCAAGCCTGATTGTACCAGTTAGGATTGCACTCTTAAGTCAGAAATGTATGAATGCATTTCCTTTTTAAAAAGTTTAAAAGAAAAAAAAAGTCAAGCACAAAGGCCCCCAATCTATCCTGGGACCAAAATGCAAAGAAAGCATTTAACTCTCCTCCTCCAATAAGACTAATATTTCTTGCCAGGCTGCAGTTAGGAAACCTTAAGTTATAAGGTTTATAAAATTACAACCTGCTCTATTTTAAGGCAAGGTTTGTATGATTCGAAATTTGTTCTACCGTATGAAGTTACATGCCTTACCTAATGACAACCTGCTGATATATAATAATCTAAATGTAAAAAGAGGCATTGACTTTGGATTTACTTTAGATTCCCATTTTGAACAACTATCAGCCTTACAGATTCTAAATTAGCACAGAAATGAAAATGACGTCATTCTATCTGCCGCAATGATACTAAAAGACGTGTCAAAACAAAATAAAGAAAAAAGCCATGATAAAAGCACTTCGAGTATGATTATTTTGTTCTTCTCTAAGCTTTAGAGAACTCTATCAACCTGTAATCAGTCAGTCAACAGAACTATTGAAATCCACTGCAAGTTTCATGACTTGCAATTATTAGCTCACATTAATCAAAGAAAAGAAAAATCGTGATTGCTTGACTTAAAAAGTGGCCTCTGCTCTAGTGCCATTTAGGCAGCTACTGGGATATAATGGCAATATCATAGTGGTGGTGGTGGTAGTGGTGTTTTTAAAAGGAAGTTGTGCAACTAAAAATTGCCTTTCAAGAAGAAGAAATAAATAAAGAAAAGAAAAGAAAAAGAACAAAGAAAACCAGAAAATTCTTCTCGGTTTTGAGCTGAAATATTCCTTCTGTTTGTAGATAGGATTAAACCACAGCAAGGTTCCAATGGATGTTGTGGCTGTTTTGTTAATAGGCATTTTTGCCCACCCCCAGTTTACTCTGAATTTAATTCAAACTGATTTTAAATTCCACCAGAAGCAGAAAAATCAAACATTACAAGCTGCATAGTAAAGGTGAATAATACTCAAATCAAGTCCACTCATTCCGGCAGTGAATCAGAAAATTAAGTAAGTGTCTTTCCTCCTTTCTTCCATTAAAATACAATAAAAATAAATTAAATGGCCAAAATCCTCTTGTGTGTTACACCAGCACAACATCACCACACAAGAGATAATGTGTATGGCAATTTCTTAACCTGAGACAAGTCACATCCAAAAGTTAATGCTGTTAACATTATACTGGTGTAAATACACACAAGCAGTTTGGCCAGTAACTTATAAATTGCTGCCTTTTCACAAAAAAACAGCTGCTACCTTATATTCTAGCCACAACATTCTACAGCACCACTACCTGTAAAAGGCGATGTAAAGACAGGAAAGAGGAAGGCATTTGATGTGAGACTAAGAGTATGACGACACTAAAACACTAATCGGAAGAACTTGGCTTTGCTTCAATTTGCATTTAAAATTGTAGCCAGTGCTCACACAGGGATTGCAGAATGTTTCGGGAGTTGAATATTTGCACTGGACAAAAGTGGGCACTCTATATGTAACACTGGTGGGTATGCCTGCCATGTTTCCATTTTTACAAAGCAGTACAAAACAGGGATAGAAAGAAAATATAGATGGGATTCAGAGAAATGAAAGGGAATTAAAACAGATGTTCATATCCTTGCTCCCAAGCCAGTAGTTCAACAGCTTGTAGTCTGCTTGTATGTGAGGATCTGTGGACAGGCATGGTAATACTACCCTATCACTGAAAGAAGAGTCAAGTGGGGTGCTGTATAAAACCATACCCAGGGAAATGTAGCAGCACATATTTTTCAACAAACTTACTGCCAGCCGCAGTACAGTGATGCAGTACATAAGAGTAAATTTATCCTAGGAAATACAGTGGTGCCTTGACTTAACGAACGTCCCGACTTACAACCACTTCAAGTTACGACCAGCTTCGGCTGCAAAATTTTGCTTCCACTTGCAACCGGAGCTTCATGTTACAACAGAAAAAAGGCAGGGAAAAAGGTGGGGAATTCAAGTTGCTAACTGTTGGTGGCGAAGAGGCTGCTTCTTTGTAGTTCTTTCACCACAGCAGTTAGAGAGTGTGCATTCGGAGGAGGCTTTGGACTGCCTGATAATGTGCTGCTTTTTGCTTTTTAAAAACTGGCTGTTCTGGGTGGGTTTTGCAGCATGGTTTTGGGCTGGGGAGTTATGTTTCTGTGCTGTGATGGGTCTTGCAGTCTTTGTTGTTGTTGTTGTTTTGCATTTCCGATGGGTCTTGCAGGGTTTGTTTGCTTTTTGATTGTGTGTTTTGATTATTTTTTTGCATCTCTGATGGGTCTTGCTGTCTCTGCTTTTGGGTTGTTGTTGTTTTGCATTTCCAATGAGTCTTGCAGTCTCTGTTTTTTGGTTGGTTTTTGTTTGCATTTCCGATGGGTCTTGCAGTCTCTGTGTGCTTTTTGGTTGTTGTTGTTGTTTGCATTTCCAGTGAGTTTTGCAGTCTCTGCTTTTTGGTTGTTTTTTGCATTTCTGATGGGTCTTGCAGTCTCCATTTGTTTTTTTGTTTAGTTTTTGTTTACATTTCCAACGGGACTTGCAGTCTCTGTTTTTTGATTTGGTTTTTTGTTTTTGTTTGGTTGTTGTTGTTGTTTTGCATTTCCGATGGGTCCTTCAGTCTTAGTTTGCTTTTTGGTTGTTGGGGGTTTTTTGCATTTCCAATGGGTCTTGTAGTCTCTGTTTGCTTTTGGATTTTTTTCCCCTTCAGAGGAACAGATTAATTGTGTTTCCGATGGGTCTTGCAGTGTTTTGTTGTTGTGTTTTTTTGGTGTTTTTTCTCCCTGGCTGGAACAGATTAATCACATTTCAATGCATTCCTATGGGATATGGTGCTTTGACCTACAACCATTTCGAGTTACGACCATCTTCTGGAACGGATTAAGTTCGTTAGTCGAGGCACCACTGTGCAACATAAATCATAGGACATTTAGTTTACCAATGTCTTGGCTAGAGGGGCGGGGTAAAAATTGAATGAATGAATGAATGAATGAATGAATGAATGAATGAATGAATGAATGAATAAATAAATAAATAAATAAATAAATAAATAAATAAATAAATAAATACATTGGCTAGGAGGAAAGGAAATCACTGCCCACTTTGGATCTTATCTCTCTGTTACTGGAAAAAGTGTACTAGGGAAATTCAGAAAACTGACACATTTAATGAAATTCTGTGACAAGACTGAGGTTTAGATCTGAAATCTGAGAAAGGTCAGAAACTGAGGTCAACAATAGAAAGTCAATGATTTGCAACATTTTGAGATATGAAAACAGTTCTAATGCTTCATATTTTTCCAACTTGATAATCATCCCCAGGGAACAATACACTATGGATCATTATTAAAACACGTATCTGTGTCTACTGAGATCTACACAAAATATATAAAACATAAAAATA